GGAAACATTTGAGTTCTGCCAACCAGTCAGCGAACACTTTGGCTATCATAGCAAGATGCTAAACCAGACATCCCAAACACCTTGAGACAGTCCTGACTTACATTGATTAGTTATAGCATAGTAAAACAATAAGTACTGATCACTGTGAGACATTAGTATGGTGTGGTGTGTCTAGCCTACATGAATTATGGCTGCTGTAGTTTTTCTTAGTTGTGTACAGCAGTGTCACAAATTGATAAAATACTACGGCAGTGACTCGTAGCTACGAAGTCGTAGAATTAAACCAATTACGGGGGAAAATAAAAGCATCCATCCATGACGTGGGTCTCCAGTGTCCCGTGACCTGGTGAACATCCAGCCACAAACAGAAACCTTACTGCAGGTAGGAGGAGTGGGGAGGGAAATATCATTCCTGTCTTTTGAGATCGAAGCAAAGCCTTTATGCAAAGTCTGCAGGAAAGAACACTACAATCAAACTTCACCCATTCTCATCTGGCCTGTACCAAAATACTAATTGTGCATAGAAGTATGCTGCCAACCTCTGGCTCTCTGGTGTTCTTATGGAACAGAAAGATAAAGTTAACTATTTATTGGTAAGACAAAGATGCACCCACATCATGCACTACAGAGGATGGGTGTCTGGCTTCCTGCCTGAGTGTGATCTCAGTGTCGATGGAAAGGAACTCACAATAGTGAAATCCAGTTGTACCCACTTCCAAATGATACATTTCTTCTCAACGCTCATCAACTTGACAGTTCTCTGGCAGTGAAGAAGTGTGGATTTGGCGAGGGCATGAAAGAGGACGGCAGGTAAATGATATTCAAATGTGTCATCTCTTCAGAGAGAAAACCCGGCGCTCCCTCAGGAACCGTCAGATGAATATTAATATGTGGTAACAACAGTAGCGGTGTGCCAGGCCTGTCAGGTCTGGAGACAGGTTTGGAGTTTGAGGGCAGAGAGCGTCACTTCTCCTCCTCTCACAGCTTTGTCAACTTGTTTTTCCTCCGTGCTACACGGGGGCCTCGTCGCTGGGCTCAGGATTCCTCTCCGCTTTGATATCTTTCCCCAGTTTGCCTTTGGTGTGTACTTCACAGGCTCTGTGGCAGCACTCATTAACTCACTCTTGACAATTGTTTTCCCCCTCTTTTATGCCGGTATACTACCTACCACCCCAGCTAATTGTCCCATCAAGAAAGCACCAACAATGAGGATAGAGAAGTGGCCTTAATTCTCTTTTAATTAGCATTCACGCTAATGTCTGATAAAGTAGAATATTAATGGTGCTTTCATAGAGTCATTGTAAACTGGAAACAAGTGCACTTGCAACATTGTAGAATTTAGAAGATGAAGACTAGAAGATTATACAATAACTACAATAACTACATACAATACAACAACTAGCATCACAGCTGCTAATACAGATATTCTTAATATTGACATTTGCCTATACAACGATAATGACTGAGCCAGAGGCTGTCAGGTCTGCAGAGAGCATCATTGGTTCCAGCCTGCCCTCCATCCTGGACTTGTTCACCTCCAGATTCAGGAGATGGGCTGGAAAGATCACTGTAGACCCTTCACACCCAGGACACGAGCTGTTCAACTCCTCCCCTCTGGTAGGCGCTACAGAGCTCTGTACGCCAAAACCACCAGACACAGGAACAGCTTCTTTCTGCTGGCCGTCACTCTGATGAACAATAAATCAGACAAACTGCACTATACCTCCATTCTGCACTAATATCCCCAATCCATTGTTATTGTTGTTGTTCTTTATGCTCATATATATACTTTAGGATATATATTTATACTCTACATAGTAGTTAAATGTTTATGCTAACCTCTGTTCTACTTTGTTGTCTTTAATGTCCTTGTAAAGTTTCCTTGTATGCATACGCATACATGGCCAATAAAGCTGATTCTGAATGGAGTTATGTGAAGTCAATATTGTGTTTGTTACGTTTATTACACAGCTGATGATCAGTTTCATCTGCAGTCCCTGACTCCTCGTTTGAAACAACGCGTGTGTGATGTGATGGGAACCAGTTTGAATGTTTGCCTCCCATTGATTCTGATTATAAACTACTTTACATCATAAACCATAACCTTCTGGTTTCTTCAGGCTTTCTGTCCTAAGAGGAATACTCTTAAAACTGTAAATTGAGCATTATTAAAATGATTATTAATAAATATGTAGGGGACGACCGAATTCACGGGGCCCCTTTAAGGAAAGGGGCGTAACCCTGGTGACAGGGGGGGGTTAAAGGGTGGCAGGAAGTGAATGTGGAGACATGTTTGTATGGATGGAAATAAACTGCCACAAGGTGCAGCCAAAGGGAATACTCGCCTCCTTGTTTCTTTCCACACTCCTACAAATATATATTATGATAACTATATACATACTCAAACTAAAGCCCTGGACCCATCGTGAATGTAGTTTCAGAAGAAGCGAAACTGAAAACACCCCTTTTCTTAAATCTATCTGGATGAATGGAGGCCCATTGATACCATCCAGTCACAATGAAGTTCCACTGACCATCACAACCACATCACCTCACGGTGACCTAAACTTTGTTCATGTCTGTCCTAAGTGTACATTGCTCAGCCCCGCTGGTGAAACACGACTATATGCAGATGTAAAGATCGTTAATATTGTATAGCTGCTCCTTCTTTCATGTTCGCTTCAGACGAGGTTGTGCATCAGGGCTACGGCCATCAATCACGTAACTGCAACCTCGCACACACACACACACACACACACACACACACACACACACCCAGTGCTAAGCATTCAGTTGCAGATATGTGTGTGCATGTGTGATTAAGAATTCACTTTTGTTGTTCCACAGAGGGGGAAGGCACTTCACTCCACCGAGCAGTAGTCTACACACGTCTATAACTATATCATGCATGTTTTATCACACACACACACACACACACACACACACACACACACACACACACAC